TTAGGTTGAATAATAAGAGCAACCCGACCAGACCTGTTTAGACTTGTCCTGATTTGTCGCGGTACAAATAAGCGATGAGCCACCTGGTCGGACGTGCGGGGGGATCGGATGAGCGAGGTCCTCACTGCCTTTATAAGTCTCCATCTGGAACAGCTGGTAGACGGTGCAATTGCAACAATGAATGAGTAAATCTAACTCACTACCTCGTGGTAACTCTGGATATAAGATATTTTAATTCCTCAAGGTTCTATGGGTCTTCACATTATTTCAATCCAGTCTAGAGGGAGTCACGGCATTATTACTTAGAAAAAGTTCCTTTGTGATTTGCGGGATTTGAACCCGGGACCTCGGGAACCACTAACCAGCTCACTCTACGATCCCTTTTCCAGCCGTCCTACTTAACCAATTTTTACGATTTGAGATGTCATTTTTAATTTCTCCCCCTATTTCTCCCCGAGTTTGAGTTTTGAGTGGATATATCCGTTTTGGGTCCCACTGAACCCAAAAAAGTGGGTTTTGAAGTGATGTCTTTGTGTGTGGATGTGTACAGAGCTACATACCACACCTGTGGGCCAATTTAGTTGAAATTTGTTATGTATTCTACAGTTCTGCTTGTTTGCATTGAAATGTCAACGCAAAGGTAAACATTGTGAATTTTCTCATACTTCCATGGAATTTTTTAAAACCTCACCTCAAAACTTTGGACATCCAAGGGGCGTAGCCCGAGAGGAACTCATGAAAGTGAATAGGCCTATGATATTCCTAGATATGTGGACAATCTTTGTGCTTAATTTTGGCTTTATCGATTTAGTATTTTAGTCGTGACAGATGCCCAGACAGACAGACAGACAGACACCACCTCAATTTTATAATAGTATAAACGAGAGCTCGCCCCGTGGTCGAAAACTCGACCAAAACACAGAAAACATACGGTTATAGTAGTATGTTTTCTGTGACCAAAAGTACGTATTGTGCAAACTTCTCTATTTTCACTCCATGCTATAAATAAAACATATGATTGGAATTTATTCTTTTGTTTAGATTTTCTGTTTATATTTTGTTGTTATTTCGTCACCATCATGGCAACCCATAAAGGACCATGTCAATTTTTAAAAATTATAAATTCATTTTGTTGTGCTTATTTTTTAGCCTATTTTAATTTATACTGTAAAGGGATTCTGCACATCTATCTGAATGTTTCATTTGGTACCAACCGCGTGTAATTTGGTCTAGTAGTATGTTTAGGCTAGCTGTCATAAGATTTGCAATTTTCTTTTAGTATATAAGGTATATAGATGGGTAAATTGAAATTCACTCGAAAACTAAATTATCCCATATAAAATGCATTACCGTACCAAACAATACCACATTATAATTTTTATTTTTTAGGATTTTTAGAGAACATGCATTCTGTATGGTAAAATTTAGTTGTTGGTTTATTACTCAAATACCAAATAGTAAATTGGAAAGTTGTTCATCTATACAAGACTCTTAAAAAGACGCGCTTGTTGTAACTCTATTTTTCAATTTACATTAAATGTAAATAAAATTTACAACATTTCTAATCCACTATAAACATTTTCAGATTGTAGAGTAGCAATATGTAATAATTTTAAAAGCTTTATTATTTATTTTTACCGCAGAGAAGTAAATTCTCCATGATTCTACATTAAAATAATACATTGAAAGTATTTATCCAGTGTTTAATGACGTTGTGTTGACATTATTTTACGCCTACAAAGCCCTAGACGCACGTAGTTAATCACTACTGCTGTTAGAAACGTTCTCTAAACTGAAGGCAAAGTCAAATAAAGACTGACTTTTTAAAGCATAAAAACGCGTAAATCTAAATATATAAAAGGCAAAGCCCTCACTGACTGACTCACTCACTCATCACTAATTCTCCCACTTCCCATTTACCCAGGAGGCTGAAATTTGGTACACTGATTCTTTGGGCATTAAATAGGAAAACTAAGTAGTTTTTATTTTGATCGGGCTTTCGGGCTCCGCCCCAGTGGCCCTGGAGTTTCCCATGTCAACCTTATGATTTGTCGTATTTAAAAGGAATTAATGAATCTTAACAGCTGTTTCAATTAAACAAGTTGATTCTGTTCTATGATGTTCAATAGCATTAAAGTTACAAGGATTACCAACATGGTGCAGCACTTTAATTTTTTTAAATTTATGACAACAGCTAATTTGCAACCAAAAGGTGAGTGAGCGTAGCGAACGAACTTCAATCTGGATGCGAGTTAGCGTAGCGAATGAGCTATCCTGAAGGCAAGTGAGCGCAGCGAACGAGCTCTAATATGTTAATAAAGTTTGACAATTTCATAATGTTAATATTTAATGAAACGTAATGAAACTTAAGAATATCTAAGAAGTAAAAGTGAAATATAAAAGATTCGTCTGAGATGAGTTATTTGAGATTCGGTTAGCTTAACATTTGTTTCCGAGTGTACTTAATAAGTTTATAACATGCATTAATGAATTACGAAATTTATGACTTCCAAGGATTATTTAAGCTGCAGCTTTGACGATTAACAATGGTTGCAAACAACTCAGAGTTTTATTTAGGTTATGTTTAGTAAATCTACATAAAAACCAGTATAATGTGGGTCTCTACTGTAAAAACAGTTATACACACTTATTAAATACAGGCAAATCTCAATCATACTTATTGCTTATTTTATGAAAATATCTTTTGTTTTATAAAAATGTGTGGAAGAAAAACTATTCTTTATCGTAATTATAATGAGAATCATAAGATTAATTCAGGGAAAAAGTAAACAAACCACGTATAAATAAAAACCAATCTAACAGCTAAGACATCTTCAATATTCTTTAGCCTTTTAATCGAGGTTCGTGCAGGAAAGTTTCACATGAGGCTTTATGTACTATAATCTGTGCAAGGAAGCCCACTTTGTCGGGTGAATGTAGGAAAAAGTAATTTGTATAATTTTATCCTCTTCTTAACCTACGTATTGTTATTTCATATGTTTTGTATATTTTACATATCTAATCCATGTGAAATGTTTTCAAAATATACGTTCATTATCAAACAAAAACCTATTCCAATAAGACTACTTTTCAAATTTGTCATGCTTCGTTATAACACATGTTCATAAGCACGATAGTAATATACATACAATAATTTGTAATAGTATAAACATACACACTTGAGTTTAATATTTGTTCTGTAACAGTTAGCTATTCACCACACTAAACAGATAACTTCGCAACAATGCATATCAGCTGATCGGCAATGAAGTAAAACAGGGATACCAACATATGACCTGGTTTTGTCATTAAATGTCTCACAGTAATTATTGCAGTTTGGATTGCATAAAAAAATAAACATCATTTATTCGTACTTGTAAATTGAAAATTACTATGCTAATAATACAAACCCAAAACTAAATAGGCCATTAGTAGACTTTAGTTACATGACTGGTGTTTAAAAGTAGTATTCCGTTTGTTATAGAACAGTATTTTTTTATATATTTTACCCTTAGGAACTGTATATAAATACGAATAGTAGGAATTTGAAAGTGTATCACCGAAAAACTATCAGTAATACATGTAAAATGATTTAATAAAAAAAAACTTTGGATCCTTTATTTGAATTAGAATTTTATACTAGTAAACTGCCTAAGTTAATTTTTTTGTTTAATCATTGATTAAATGAGTAGACGTGGTTTTATTATACAAAATTAAATGGTGGAGTTTTAACTGTCTGTAAAACTATTATAAAGACATATTAGATATTTCATATAAGTACCCCTTTATCCGGTAGTTCAAACAGTTTTGTTTACATTAATTAGGATGTGTTAATTGTTGAATCGACGACCTACTTATTCTTTTAAATAAACGTCACGTTGTGTTTTCTTTACAAACATGTTTTCCGATTTAAAAAAGGCTAAGTGTGTAATGTTATTAAGTGAACTTAAGCCAGTGACTCTAGTAAAACTGGCATTTGGAAGAACATTTACCAAAGCTCCACATCATGAAAATAACATTCGTCGTTGGAGTAAGCAGTTCATAAACACTGGATCAGTTAAAAAGCAAAGTAAGCCTGGTAGACCACTCCCCGAAGCCCAGACCTGATTCCTTGTGATTTTTTTTTCTTTGAAAATATGGTATATTTTCAAGAATTTCGAAATTTGGTCCATCTAATTAAGAAATAATTGGAAATGCAGTCTCCACTGTAACAAGAAACATTTCTCTTGTTTAGTTATGAAATAAAAACAAAACTGGAAAGATACAAAAACACTATTTATTTTGTTGAATTCCTGTCATCAAAACATTGTAGCTACAAATAAACTTCAACATGGCCACTATTTTTGCTTTACAGACGTCAAATTGATCTATTTCAGCCTACATACAAAATGTTGCTATGTTTTAGCTATGTATAAAACTTTTTTATGTCAGAAATGTAAAAAAAATGTTTTTGTATTTTCCTTGTTTTCTTTTTATTTTATAACTAAACCCCAAATACTATTCTTGAAACCCCTGTTCAAAATAAAGTGTTATTCTTTGTAATTTTCTGTGATTTCTATGAAATATTCTTTCATTTAGTGAGATGACCATCGAATAAATTATAAAGAAAACGTTTATTATCCATCCTGCCTAGTTTACCTTCGGCCAATTGCCGTAACACACGTACACGTTTACCACTATAATTGGCAGATTCGGTCACTGAGCAAGATTTCCCTGACTACCCACTTGTTCAAGAAGTGTTACTTATTCTCCAGTTCATCATATCATCCTTATCAGTTGTTTTAACTGTTTCTTTTGCCTTCTTTAGCTACTAATTAATAATAAGAAGCTTCAGACTTCTCAAGACTTAATCAACGATTTCATTTGTAAACATAACAATAACTCAGTCACTATTATACTGTATACACATAATAATACCATTCAAAACCCATTGATTGACAGTAATGCTTAAAAATTGGAAATACATGGTGATACAAAACGACATTTTGTTTTAATTTTTTTATACAAAAATATAAAACACTATTTACAATATAAAACACAATTATTTGGCATCAAGGTTAACAAACAAAGTGGGGTAACGAAATGATGAATGTATGAGTAGATGGCAAATGAAGGTGAATAGAATGAAGTCCCAGACTAGTGGAAACTGAAACAAAATAAACATGTTAGATTGGTTGATTTCTGCAGTTTTGGGTTAAAAAAATACAAATAAAAGAGGGATTGTCAGATAAATGGTTCAATAAGTGCCTATTAATGCTACTACATACTGTACTATGGGTCTTATGTACTGAAAAATCCTATATACGAACTTATAGATGGATGTAGTCTCGGGATTTTTATGTTTTTAATGGTGCTTTTAGTGAAATTATGTTTTCACTTTTTAGTTTAGGTTAAAATGAATTTTCATCAGTAAAGCAAGTATTGAATAAAAGGGAACTCAATTCAATCTAACCGACGATTTTAGGGTGATGTAAAAATACCTCATTCTCAGATACAAACATTTCATTCAAACTAGAAGCGTGGCTTTTTATCATCATTTAAATCACTTTATCTATCATAGTATGGAAATCAAAAAGGGGGTTGAATTTTAAAAGGCCAAATACACGGTGTCCTCTTTAGAGATATTGATACAGCTAGTCTTTATGTAACATCTAATGGATTATTAACAATACATTTTCTCAAACGATTTCTATGTAAGTTAGTAACGATACAGTTGATAAAGATAGCTAGGTTTAATTAGATAAAATATATCAGTTTTCACAGAGAAGTAAGGCAAATCAGTGAGAGTCATTTTGAGTTTACATGTTTACTACTTCCGATAAATGTATTGAATTTAGTAAAATTATTTTTTACATTTTCTATTCAATTCAATTGTTTATCTAATAAGGTACCTATGGTTCACAGCGAGCTAGTATACTGAAGCCACTGGGCTTCAGTCTTTCAGGTCCTGGGTACAAATCTTACTAATGGCATTAAGTGATAAAGTCACGTCCCTATAGTGAACTTGTTCAAGAAGTGTTACTTATTCTCCAGTTCATCATATCATCCTTATCAGTTGTACCCTGAAGGGACCTACTAACAGGGCCTATAGGGACGTGACCTTATCACTTAATGCCATTGGTAAGATTTGTACCCAGGACCTGAAAGACTGATTCGGATCTGGCTTTATCGGAGAAGTAAAGTACGCAGGAAACTTGCTTATGGGATGACCGTATACTTTAAGCTCTAGTAAGTTGTGTCGGAAATATACTTGTGACGGGCAAGGAATAGTCCGAGCACTGTGCAGAAATTCCTACGCATGGCACTGAGTCTTCTTCCACCGTGAGCGTTGTAGAACATGAAGTCATGGCGGCGTCGGACTTAGCATAAGACACCAGCAACTATTGCTAGACTCCACTTAAGTAAACCACCATGTTTCCTGTACCTTACTTCTCTGCATGATCCATCTATAAATCGATATTTACCTGACTAGCGTCTAGTGGTGATGGTAGTGTCCGTACGTCGTGTACACCTTGGGTGTGTGGTAGATATGCTTGACCTTGTACACAGGGACATGTACAGGGTAAGGCTTGGGTACAGGGTAGGGCACCTTCCTCTCCACGGTCACGGGGTACGGCTTTTCCACAGGGTAGGGGACAGGCTTCTCGACCGTGACCGGGACCGTCCTCACCACCGGGACCGGGACCGGGACGTGCACAGGGATGGGCTGAGGGACGTGGATCGGGACGGGATGCGGGACCGCCACCGGGACCGGCTGGGGGACCGGGTATGCTACAGCCTTGTAGACCGGGACCGCCACGGGCTTTGTGACTTCTACGTGTTGGGAGATGATACCACCCCCGTAGTTGTTGTAGCCTCCGGCATAGCTACTTGGGTATCCTCCAAGACCGCTAGAGAGGCTGCCGTACCTGGAAAATCAGGTGGGTTAGAATATTTAGAAATGTGAATAGTTCGGGGTTTTGTTAACTGTAAGAAAACCAGTTTGTTGAATATCACTGGGATAGAGTAGAATAAAGCGTTACTTAAAGGGTTAGTTGGTAAAAGGATAGACAGTTATGGTTGTCAAAAGATAAGAAGGGACAAAATGGGCTACTTAATATACATCTCTTCTCATCTATATGTACTCTAGATTTTCATTGGGTTTGTCATGCACTATGATTTGCAACTGAGAGACAAAATAAACTAAGGCAGTCAAGTTTTCTTCTCGAAAAAACTGTATCAAAATAGCTTTGTTCGGAGTTTTTCCTTAAAAACAAAACCTGTCACAATATCAAAGATTTTTTAAATAGTTTAGCTACAAAAGAATCAACATTACGTGACACCTATATCTTTTCATATTGTGAACTTCTAATATTTTGGTATTCAGCAATAAAATGCAACTTACAAACACTCTTTCAAGGTGGCTCAAAATTAACATTGATTTGAACAACCTATTCAGTCAAAATACACATTTACCCACATTTCACACTCTTAATGTGTTTTTACTATGTTGCAGGTTTAAAATATGATAAGTCAATAATTTAAAAAATATGCTCCTTATGAAAAAAGAGGACTGTAACAACTTGAGGCTATAGTCTATCTCCTGAACCTTCGTCTATAGCTGGGACTGCACCGGTCCTAAAACCATTAGACAGTCCTCAGGTAGACGGAGTGTCATTAGACATGTTCTATCATACAGAGTATATCTTCACCAATTCAAAGAAGCTGAACACCAAGATTTGTCAGTGGAAGGACATTTACTGGGTGGTGCTTACCCGGTGTCCCCAAGGTCGTATCCTGCGTTCTGTGCGGAGTACAAGGATGACTCCAGACTCCTCTTCTCCTGAGTCTTATCCTCCAGGACCTCTGTATCTTCCTCAGCCCTCGCCGGGACCAACGCCAACAGACACGCTAGAACCTGTGGAACATGCACTGTTAGGAGTCGTCCTGGAGTAAAATATACTAGGTATAGAAATAACCTATACTCTGTGTGGTGAATCCTGTCTCCTGACCGGAGGTCTACATAGAGAGTAGCCAATGGTTTGAGGACAGACTCAGTTAGACGAAGGGCCAGGAGACATGTTCCAACATACAGACTATAGAGCTATTATAACTCACGTAATTGGCTTTTACTCTATAGGCCGGCTATAAACATTAATTCTTAAAAAAAAAAAAACTTAGTTTGAATGTGCAACTCACACAGTGCCTTACTGTCAGAAATTATGTTTTCTCTCTATTTTAGTCAGAGTTACAGTTATTTAACTTAAAATATGCTACCGTCCAAATAATCCAAATAATTTTTTTCTAAATGTTTTTTTTTTTTAGGCTGTGTGGGGTACACATTTCCGGGGTGGACCTGAGAAATCTACGAAGATTATGGTACGGATTTTTGAAGACCTAATGATGGTATTATACGCCCAAAATGTATAAAATTGCCATTGTACTAAAACAGGAATTACTTGGACTGAAGGTATGTAACTTTGATTACAGTACTTTATAAGTCAGCGTTTCTGAAGGATACAAAAGGAATAAAAATATGTAGTCGATTAAGGTTTTGCTTGTTTAAACAGTTGAGTCAATAGTTAGATGGAAGTCAACAATCTACTCCAGCACTTTGTCAGTGGCTAGATCCTTCTAAGTTAATTGTTATTCAAAATCATTCTACAATATTGACCTAGGAATTAAATATCTGGTTCTTTCCATGGGCAATCTTATGCTATATAAAACGGAGTAATCTCAATTGCATTTTAATTAACCATGGATTATATCCTTCTACCAAAACTCAAAATTTTCAAAAAAAATATTTATATTACGATTTATAGAATGAATGACGATCCAAGCAATTGCAAAGAAATAAACCGTACGCAGAGGGGACCCACATCACAAACACTTTCAACTACTTTCAAATACTTTCAACTCAAAAATATACCTATATTTCCCATTTTCGAGATCTTACAGGTTTGTGGTTACTTGCAATAGAAACAGTATGAATCTCTCAATTCCCTCAAAAACTAAATAAATATTGAAACAAATGCAAAGTCGTATAAGTCAAAAATGTTTAACTTAGTCTCTGAATGCCATGAAAAAAAACAATCGTGACGCAAATGTCAACTATTGTGATTTCCTCAGCGACTATGTTATGACATTATATAAGGACGAGTAAGTCTTCAAAAAAGTATTTAGTCCAACTACAAACAAAATTTTTCTAGGAATTTGCTAACAAATTTTGAATCGAGAAAATATAAACAGTGATCCACTCTATAAAAGATTTCTTTCCAAAACATGGGTTTAAATTTTTACCCCATATTAAAAAAAACTTGAAAATTTTTTAAAATTTATGTTTTTGTTTTCTTGTTTTTTCGAGTCAACTTTACCAATACCGTTGTTTTAGATAACTTTATATAAACACAAGATATGTCAAAGAGAATAAGAACATATTTTAAATAAGTTTGAGAATATTAAAAACTTAATATTGTATATTATTAATTAATCATTTTTATTTCGACACATTTCTTTTAAAAGGCTGAGAGAACTATACAATAAAATTAAATTATAAACAAAAATTCATAATTATTTTGATCGTAATATAAAAAGGAATACTTAATGGCTACTGAATTTTATACCGACAAGTTAAGTACTGTAGCGAAATTATAATTAACAACAATTAATACTAAACTTAAAGCATTCAAAGTTATTAAACAATATAATTGAGTTTAGACAAGTTAATATTATAAACATCAGATCACATATCTTTAAAAAACCCATCCTATCATCTTACTTCCCTAAAATTACTATTTAAAAAATTACTTATTACTAAACTAATCAATTACAACTACAAAACAAACCGAAAAACACAAACTGAACACAAAAGCGGAGCAGAAGAAGAAGAACAGAACTACATAAAAGCTAATAAATCCCATTTAACCCAGGAAGACCACGAGAGAAGTGATAACTAAGAAAACTGAGCACGGACTCACCAAAACGTGCATCGTGGTTGGGAGAGTGGAACGGTTTGGAGGGGCTTTCCTGGCTCCGCTCTTATAAGCACAGCCCCCCCCCCCCACTTTCTCCTTACCCCTGGTGGCGAAGCCCCTGTCCTGGTAGTCCCTAGGGATGACATGGAGACGTCCAGGGAGGGGTCAGGGAGGTTACAGGACTATAAGGACCTCTAGGGGCCTCTGTGGAGTGGGTGGTCTCTTTACATCTTTACGCATCGATGGATTGTTATCTCGAGTAATTAACCGTGATTACTGATTAGTGTAATTGGAGCGTGATTAGTTTAATTGCAAATTGAGTTTGTTAATTGTTTCACTAATATGTATAAGGATATTATATTTTTATCTTTTTTTGTATATGGACAGAAAAACACTCAAGTTTTTTGGGAAACATAGTTGTAGTTTCTTTCTCCTAGAATACAAAAACGGATAATTACTTGAAATAAGGAAAACGACAATTAGCTAAAACATGATATCCTTTCCAACAAAAAGGGAAACGATGATAATATGTATTTAATATTCAAGCTGAGGCTGAAAAAGTAAAGCATCGGCTTTAAATATGTAGATACTGAAGAATTGGTTTATCATATCCGACTCCCTGAACATAATTCACTTCATGCTGTAATTTAAATTGATTAGTTCTCCAATATACATGAAACAATTTCAATAAATTGTTATAATATTATAAACATGTTTTATTTATATAAATACCAAAATATTTAAAAAGTCTGGTCAATCGTCAGAGCGATCAATACAAAAGTACTCGAAAAACTATTTAATATTGAAAATAATCTTTTAAATTCCATTATACTCTTGTTATCCTTATAATAAAAAAAGCATTCTAATTTTCTTTCTGGGATTTATTAGTATATTCACACATGCCTTGTATATCCATGTAATATTGTAAAATACTGTAACCGTTAGATAAATTAGTAAATTAACGAATTAATAAACGATCCATCTTGTCCAAGCACTCCTATAAAATGTAGAACTTAATGTAATAATATACTATTCCAATGTCCAAAAAATATTAAATAAATGTTTGAAAAAATGTACGAAAAACGTTTTAATTGCGTGGCAATATTAACAACAATGTGTCTTAGAAATCATACCGTATGAATAAAGATCCATTTTAATTTATTTTAACCATAAAATGTTAAAAGGAATTTGGTTTGGCTGAAATTTGATAGCAATAACAAACTATACTCTAAACTAATTATCTATAATAATTATCGTACGCAGCCTACATAATATTACTAGTATTTAAAACTTAGTGAGGTTTTCCGGGTTTCTTGTAAGTGATACGTATTGTACGTTTCTTTCTTAATCTGATAAATTATCAAAAGTTTATAATCACCAAAGTAGTCTAAATATGTACTATGGTTGTTAACACAATTAGAACTATTATCATAATAAACCCCAAATCAGAAACGATTGTGAACTCTTGTAAATATATTATTTATCTTGTTCTACATTGTAGTAGATATGTTAGGTATACAAATGTGTACTTAGTATCTACACAGTTGTGTACCAGTGTGTATTTTAATATTGTAAGCATTGTAGCATTTAAGTATTTAGAATACCAATTTATCTAGTAGCCATGTATCTAGTACCCATTATTCTTGCTAAGATGACGATTATTTTGCATCCTTTCCCCCTTTTTAAGAACCGTTCGTAATTTTGTCAAAATAAATAAACCCTATTTAATATTTCAAAATTTAATTTTTCGTCTTACTGCAGCAAAAACACCCGTTTTTAATGCATGCGTTGCCGGTCTAAAGTAGCATTTTTACTCTCTAGGGAGTAAAAATCAACTGTTTTAAACAGTTGTAATTTCGATTGTGGCCATCGTATTGATCGAAATTATTTATCGATTGATTTATTAGTTAAGGTTTTAGCCTATTGTTGTCAATTGCTCGACATATCGATAGTATAATAACACAATCGTAATAGACGAAATAATTGAATAACTTACTAAACAGGTCCCTATTTGCATTAGCAGAATTGAAAACATGCTGAAAGTCGTTTTAAAAGGTTATCTGTACATACAAATAATTTCGTTTTCTAGCTTTGTTTTTGTTAATTAATTATGTAATTTGGCGAAAAATATAGTTCACCACACGGGCAAAAAGATTCACTTTAGTCCCTAGTGATGAAATATAGTATTGTAACCTTCACAATTTAAAAACTAATCTTTTTTGTTTGACCCTACATACAAAATCCATCGAATAAATCTTTTACAAGTATTCGATAATACACCCATTTTCACACAGAATAGAAAATGGAACCATTACGCAAACTCTCACATAATCGTAACACTTCTGTCAACCTGTTCCGACCAGACTTTCAGCATTGTATGTTGAATAAAAGGAAGCGCCGCGCCCGGTCGTCTTAACCTTTAAGTTATAGCTGTGTCCAGGACCCGGTAGCCAAATGCCACTTGATCCTGAGTCCTGAGGTCCTGACAGCTGGCCGGTTCTGCGTCACATCCTTCCGACTTCCGTAGTCTCTCTTGGTTAATCGTTGATATAGTTGCAATGTAACTGGATTCATATGATTGGAAGGTAATGAGTTGTGTTTGTGGTTTTCATACGTTTGAAAGAGTGCTAAAACTCAAGATCTATATTAAGTTACTTATTTGGAATTAATTAATTTTTACACATCACATTAAACTGTATCAGCCAACTGACATATACCCTCTCCTATTGATTCCTAACCCTTTAAAATGGAAACGGAGGGAGTAACTCTAATATTTTCAAATGTGCGATAAATTTGAAACTTAATATACAGAATTGGGTATTGTACAATTATGTTTAGGGTTAAAAATACAATAACATAGTAAATAATAGTCTAATCATTCGTCAAAAACATTCAAGCCATTTAAAAATACACGATTTTCCAAATATGTTATAGGTTTTATGGAAAATTTACTGTTAAAAATCAAAATTTCATAAAATGAAAATAAAAAACATGGATTTACAATGGATTAGTACCCACACAGTTAAATTAATAAAAATCGCACTCCAGGTGAATAAGTAGGTAAGTCTGTAGGAATAAAATTGATTCTCAATATTTTTAAAATGTTCATTGATATTTACTACAAAAGTGCTATAATCTTTTTCCTAGACCATTGTGTAAAAATGATAAAGGCCACTTATAGATTAACTATGCCTTTATGCACTTTGCAAAGACTACCCAGTCATGCTGCATTTCAATGGAAACGGTCCAAGACCACCGGGAGGTCTTGCTGAAGATGGGAAGATGTCTATGCCACGCTTCGTTCACACTTACAGACCACATTCCACATTCTGCACCATTGGAGAGTTAAACGTACCACGTGCCACACCGTGTGCGTAAAATTGTGTTTTAGCACGACCATCAAATGGGTATTGGAATTATGGTATTTGTAAGTGTACCATTAGGTTACTGAAGTGGTGTCCACTAAAATATTTTTGAATCGATTTAATTAAGAATTAGTGTGTACCGTAGCATTTTTTATTGAAGAAACTCAAACGCATTAGGAAAGCTGTCCAGATACCTCAAAACAAAACTATTTTGGCTATCCGATATTTTGGATGCGTCATAGCTATAGTCAAATTGTCTATTTTTTTAGACAAAATGGTGGCTGTAACTACGGGTAACTTTTGACTGTTGTAAATTGTTTTTGTTGTTTCGGTTTTCGTTGTTTTAATTTGTCTTTGGTCCAAGAATGGTTCCCTAAAGATCGGTAGACAGTACGAAAACACCATGTACAGCAGAAGGGTATTTGCTTAAATATTTGGTTTTACCATCAAACAACATATCAAGGTACTCTACAATCTCGAGTGGAAGTATTTATGTTCCCAGCAGCAGCTACTGAGGTCGTAATGCCACTTTCTTCCAACATCAGTAATCGCGCGTAATGAAGGAAGGATTTGTCCTGTTTTTCACGCTAGAGCGAGCGGCTTTAGCCACACAAGGGTTATCTAACATAGAAGATGTGATTCAGACAGAAACGGAAACAAACTTGTAGAAAACTTCCGCTACGTCGTTGCAATACAGATGGCGTTAGTGACATGTTATACAGTATAGCTGCAAATAGTAATTGACTTTGGGATACCACGAGGAGAAAATCTCATGCTATATGATCGATGAGTGCTTCATCTCGAGTAGTATTAGAATGTCCCTAGGGTTTTAGAATTTTGAACATTTGAGGCATGCTCAGGTACTTTTCTGGTCCATGTGATAATCGTCTGTTATCGTCACATCGCACTATTCTTCAAGTGAACTAATTTTCAATAGAATACAAAATGTGGCCTATTTTTAATGCCAATAATAATTTAGCTCCAAAATCTGCTTCCCTCTTGGCTATATAAACTAACAACAGTTGTTACCTATGCATTTAACAATTCTGTCTATTTCGGTGATTTAAAGAAACTAGATGCATTAAATATTACTCCTACAAGACACTAAGAAATTTTAATCCAATTACTGAAAAACATTTAAATAAATCCTGCTATCAGTGTGTATTATTTTAGAAAATAGTTTGATCAGAATATTAAAACACATAAATCTTCTAAAGTACTTAGTGGTTGCAAAAGTATTTGGAGGAATTCATAGCAAAAATATTTTACGTAAGTGTATTAATAGATACACTTCAAGCCGCTTGTCAATGATAATCGGGCGTCCCATTAAAAGAACTGAAAGCTAAAATGTTACTCTGAAAAATTCCGACTTCGAGTTTTCAAGAGAAATCACCCCTCGAGCCAGACCTCGTAGACAAAATTAGGTTCAAAGGAAGTTGAGCACATTCTTCTTGGCTAATTATCTAAAATGTTCATTGTATTACCTAACTGTGATTTTTTCCAAACCAGTTCTAAGTAGGTTCGATTCCAGTTTCCGGTAGAACTGCAAAAACGGAAACACTTGCAACAACTTGCATGACCGACATAAGTAAGTAATTCTAACCGGGAGTTCCACAACAGGTTTTTATGTTACACTCTTTTGAGAAACACTTTTTTCTCTA